AGTGCGAAAAGTTGCCACAAAGCACCTAAAATCTCCCTATTTTGAAGATCCAATAGAGCTCATTTAAGAGGTATTTCAGTTAATTTTTTTATCTCTTTTTTTTTTTTTATTTCTTATCTATAATAATTATTGTTATAATAGAAATAATCATGTAGACATTTTAGGGTTAAATGTATAATTTAAATTTCAAACATGTAATTTCTAAACTTCTATCAACTTCTCATTCTTCATTCATCAACATTGTTTCAAATTTCTTAAATCGATATGTGATGATACAATAATGGGAAGAAATAGAAACCTTCCCTACACGTAACCGATTCCCGAACCCAATTCTGATTATTAAGGCCATTATTGGATCCCTTTCTAAAAACCTTTTCTTTTTCCAATGTTTTACTCCATGTACCTATTTTTAAACCTATTAATTAAGGACTAGTCTGGTGTTCGGGCATTCCTTAATTGATGAGATTTTCTAAAAGATGCCTAAACCATAGGTCGCGAGATCAGAAATTTTCGGGTTGCGACAGATGGAAACTCCACTGGGGACGTTTAAAGAGGGTCAAACCTATTTAATTGATGAAGTTAATAAAATAAAAATAATAATTTAAATATTTTTCCCCTTTACTTTGTTTTCTTTATTTGTTTGGCTTTAATACCTGTTTGCCTATTTAAATTCTGCATCTGTTTGAATAAAAAAATTGTACACAAACCTTTGCACACAACAATTCCCCCTACACCCGGGGGCATGAGGGTATATATTAAACATAGGGAGTGGTTGACGTACGACCGACCCAAGTTTGTCCTTGGAGCCGGCGAGCCTTGTCGGAAATCACACTCAAGGTGATAACCGGTTACTCTAGCCCGAAATATTGCGACAGACCTTAGAGTTTGCCAGGTGACGGCGACAGAGATATTGAGTCCCTATAATGGGAGCACCTTGGGGGCCTTAAAACTAGTGAGATTAGAACCGTCCTATACAATGCACTTTTCTTGCAAGGACCACAGACTAAGGATTTGAACGCGACTGTCTGCGGGTGTACATTTGTTTGAGCATATGAGTGTTGCATTTGTTGTGTTCTCTTTTTGTTCATTTCAAATAGAGAGGAATTATAGACAAATAAATAGATATCAATAAAAAAAAACTAACACTCTTTGTATACCCTAACTCTAAAGCATTATATAGGATAGTTTGTTTAAAAAAAAAAACAAAAAATATATAGCAAAAATCATGCATCATAACCTTTAGTAAAATAAAAAAAAACATGATAAAATTTAGGTAGAAAATAAATATCATGCATCTCCTAGGATAATACATTATTAGCATGCATCCATTAGAAACAGAAGGCACATATAGTAGTATGCAAAGATGTTCTTTAAACAAAAATCAATAAGAATTATATTAGTTGAAATTCTCAAGTGTCTTTGCATCCTATTTTACGTTTCATATAGATAACATGCCTTGCTTGTAAATAATAAATAAGAATAAAAAGGGGAAACCTAATTTGTGCGTGTTAGCCGGATAATGAAAATTACTATAATCAAATGTGAACCCGACATATCAAATCGAGGAACACTTATCAGTAATTGGGGGTATCACACGCCCAAATCGACGATTCAAACACCGAGACTTTTCCATGCGAAAACGACAATTGCCAGGATAAGAGGAATGATCAAGAATGGACGAATCCTTGCTTCTAGAGAATTACAAAACCCAATTAAAGAATAAAGGCATTGCATGACAAAAACCCGCTAGGATGAAAACCCATAAAGGACGCCCTAGGAAAAAATTAAGGTGAAGAAAAAAGAATCAAAATCCCGATAGGATACGTCCTATGCAAAAGTTAGGGACATATAAAAATAAGAAATGTCTATCTGAGTTGGAATCGAAAGGTGGCTCGAGTATTCCCTTCGAAAGTAAGAATTCATAAAGGTTTCACTCCAAATTCAAAACACTGACGTTCAAGTAAGTGGAACGATTTTTCTTGAAATTATCAAATCATCCATGATTCTCTAGGGGGCAACCTCCGTCTATATCTCTGTGTATGAATCACGAACTCGGGATATGCCCGGGCCTTCGAGCTTTGTTAAAGGGGCACGTGTAAATTGAAAGTACTATTTTAGATGCCATAACACTCTTTTGTTTCTCTTCTCCCTCTAAATATTCACTCTAGGCCTCATCCATCAACCCTTAATAAACAAAATGTATTTGTGACAAAGATGTTACTCGATAATAGCATGGAAAAGATAACAAAGGAACAATCAAGAATCCAAACATGACTAGGGGTCAATAAAAATAGGGCGTCCCACACAAATGCTGCAAAAATGAAGGCCCGACAGGAAACCCACTAAGGGGGCTGCGCAAAATTAGGGCAAGATCCGCTATGGGGCCCACAATCAAAAAGGGTAACCTAGGCAAAAGTAAGGATCAAGAGAAAAATGTCTGCTAGGAAACACATCCCAAGTAAGCTTCTTCAAGGTGTTTTCCTCTTCATTGGCGTGTCAACCTCAAGAGAAGAAAAAGATTGAAGGTGCAGAGTGAAGAAGAACAACAACCACTTCTATTCACTTCCATCACCACGCAAAAATACTCAAGGTCGGCTAGAGCCTCAATACTAGTCCAGCTTAGAGAGGCTGGATCAAGGAATAATCAACAACAAAATCGGAAAAGGTCAGCCAAAGCCTCAATACCAGTCCAGCTTGGAGAGGTTGGAACACACAACACTCACCTTAGGCCAGCTGAAACCATAATGTTACTCCAACTTGGAGAGGTTGAGCTCGGAATATACTCATACCTTAGCGAGCAATGAATAAGAAATCACACCAAATCAAGAGATAAATAGAAGCAACATGGAGCATCTATGCTAAACTGGTAGCTTAGATGGTATAGTCTACCATCCTTGTCACATAAAGGAGCACGCAACTCAACACTTAGGTGTTCCAAAGGGCAAGAATATATGTAAACCCGTCTACTTGAAGGAAACAATGTGGAAACGCCTACAAGAGACAAAGAGAAGACCTAGACGAAATGTCTATGTCTTTACTTGCCTAAGAAAAACAATACAGGGCTATTCAAAGAACAAGTAAAGAATGGCATCTATAGACGCCTGCTTTCATTCGGGACACTTATATCAAGAAAAAGAGTAAGTAGACTAGTACATAGGGCCTAAAAAGTCCAAATTAATGTGAAAATGGGCCTAGAATACACTAAAGCATCAAAAGGCATGAATGGTAGTTTTAGTAGCCTAGAATGGGCCATTTTGAAACCAGAACGAGCCATTATAAAATCAGAACGGGTCATTCTAAACTACCAAAAAAGACTAGATACCCTAGGTTAGAATGTCCCGTTCTGACCTAGTTTGTTACATGTAAAATTCAAACTCAAAACATGTTGTTCTAGTTTCAGAATGGGTCGTTCCAAATTTGAATTTCTACTATAACAAAATCCTCCAAAACGGTCTGTTCCGATATCAGAATGGACCGTTCTAGTGGATTTTCATGCCTATAAAAAGAAGATTATCAATGTTTTGATGATTACAAGTGCATTCTATATAACCTTTTGAGAGATAAGAGTGCCAGTTGTAATTTATTGTATGTTTTACTTTATGCACGTTTTGCTTTGTGCATTAGCTAGGTGCTAAATCATTCTTAGTTTATGATTTTTCATTTAGAGTGATGATTGATGATATATGTGAGGTTTAAAATTGGTTTAAAGAGGATCTCCTATGAAAAATCGAAGTATTAAATTTTTACTCAAAATAATCAATTATCTCTAGTAATAATCGATTTATTTGCTCTATTTTTTAGTAACTTGGAAAACATTGTAATAATCAATTATCTAGTCAAATAATCAATTATATTATAAATAAACTTCTAGAATAATCAATTATCTTAAGAAATAATTGATTAAAGTATTCTTCATAGATATCTAGATTTGTGAATAACAATATAATTGACTATTTATAACAATATTTGATTATTTCAGTTAGAAAATTCTATATAATGATTTTCATTCTCAAAACTTAATATAGAAAAAAAACTTTACAAAATTGGTCATTGTGTGAGATCAAGAAAAATGTTTTTTTAAAGGGAGTGTAACCAGGTGTGCCTTAGGGTTACTAGTGATGATATGTGAAACTTCCGTATGGAGCCACATGCATGCATTTATGAGTCGATTCCATGACATCATTGCATGATAAATAAGTGTATATGTGTTGTTGATTATGTATGTGTATTATTTACATGTGACTTATATTTGTTGTGTGCGTGTGCTATCTAACCTTTATTTCTTCACCTAAAACTGAGTGAGATGTTTCTCACTCCCTTGTTGTTTTTGTATATGTTTAAATTATGTTGCAGGTGATCAGCATCATGAGGATGTTGGTAATGAGGCTTAAGGCTTCAGTTGGGCATGCTTTGATAGGATGTGACATCGGGCATAGCTAGGCTTATTTTGGATGTTATTATTTTAAAAAGCTTTAATTTTCTCTTCTTTTGTAATTTTGAACGTTCTTCAGAAAAAAGACCAAAATGTACATCTTTGTAATATTATATTTATTACATGATTTGAAAGTTATAAATTAATTCCTAACTAGGAGGCACTGCCACCTTTGCTGGAATTAATCTATATTTTCCTTTATATGATTTCTTGAATTTTGATACTTATAAGATGACTTTCTATGATTTATGAGTTACTAATGTGAATCTTCTACCTTGTGATATTTGAGACAATTATTTTATCATGAAAGATGTTATCAAACTATGAAAGATTTTATTTACTCAAAAAGAAAAGGAAAAAGAAATTGTTTACATTTATTGTGTATTAATGTTGGGGTAGAGGGTGTCACATTTAGTGGTATCACAGCTGGTCGATCTAATCGACCGTGAGTTATGAGTTTACTATGCTTATTTGGTACATGAATGATGGATTGAACTGATTGTAAAACTTGTTGGTATGCTAGTATGACGATTGATTATGTTTATTAATTGTATTATTTTCGTAGACTATGGCTGGTAGAAATGATCGTGCGATTGCTGATGCTCTTCAAGCATTAGCACAAGCTATAAATAATAACAATAGGGTTGAGGTCGCTCCTAACTGGTTAGAGCAATTTCAACAAAATCACCCACCTACCTTTAAAGGAGGATATGACCCAGATGCTGCTATGAATTGGTTAACGGAGATTGAGAAGATCTTCAATGTCATGGATTGTCCCCTCACTCAGAAGGTGAAGTTGGCAACCTTCATGTTGACTGCTGATGCTCACTTTTGGTGGGAAGGAGCACTTCGGAGGATGATTGATGGAGGGGTGCATTTGAATTGGGACAACTTCAAGAAGGT